TGTCTTTATCAAATGTGATATTTACAAACTACCTGCTACTATATATACCAAAAAATTACAATAAAACTTTAATTAAAGTTGTTGTCAGCATTTAAGTTTAATAATGGAGAGGTATTTAAATCTACTTGATCGTTAAGCAATACATTTGAATGTCTCATTTTGTTACTCTCCATGGCTTATAATAAATTTAATTTTCTACCCTTTGTGGCTGTATGCAAAATATCAAAATTGTCGTCAAAAATGTGTTTTTCTGTGTTTAAGTGTGTAGCATAATTAGAATCTAGACTATTGCTTTTAAACGCTCTTTTATGTTCGTTAATGCGTTACTTGAAGGATCTACCTGTTTGTCCAATATAAATTTTAGGACAAGATCCGCGTTTAAACCTGTAGACACCTGATTTTTGAGATTTTGGACATTTCGTTTTATTGTTTTTTAAATATTTCCCTATTGTGTTGTTAGTTCTGAAAGCTGTTTTTAAACCACATTTTGACAAATGTTTTGAAACTTTTTCACTATAGGTATTTAAATCTAATTGATCGTTAAGCAATACATTTTAATGTCTCATTTTGTTAATCTCCATTACTTCCAATAAATTTAATTTTCTACTTTTTGTGGCTGTATGTAAAATATCAAAATTTTCGTCAAAAATGTGTTTTTCAGTGCTTAGCATAATTAAAATCTAGACTATTTTTTTCAAACACTTTTTTATGTTCGTTAATGCGCTTCTTGGAGAATGTACCTGTTTGTCCATTATAAATTTTAGGACAAGATCCGCATTTCAACCTGTAGACACCTGATTTTTGAGATTTTGGACTTTTCGTTTTATTGTTTTTTAAAAATTTTCCTATTGTGTTGTTAGTTATGGATGCTATTTTTAAGATTTGAACTGAGGTGGCTTTTACTTGATGAAAATCCATTTATCAAAATAAATAAGAACTAAAAGTTCAGATTTTCACGAAATTATATATTATGACATGACAATTGTTTCGACAACACCGTGTCTTTATCAAATGTGACATTTGATAAAGATAGTTCTTTTTTTTTTGCTATTTTTAAGTCACATTTTGACAAATGCTTTGAAACTTTTTCACTGGATTCTACTATGTATGTCATTGTTTTAAATTGTTCGTGTTCTGTATTAGGTTTCGGATAATTAGAGTTTAATGTTGCTTGGATTTGTTTTTTATTGCTAATTTTATCGATAAGGGACGGATTGTAGCCGTTGTTCAGTGCAGTTTGTTTAATGATATTAAGTTCTTTGTTGTAATTTTCTGCTGAGAGTTGCGTATGAAGAAGTCTGTGTATAAAAGAGTCAAATGCAGACATTTTGTGTGTATAAGGGTGATTTGAGTTGTTATGTATGACTGTGTCCGTGTGTGAAGATTCATGATAAATGGAAAAATCTAATTTGTTTTGGTTAGTTAGTTAGTTAGTCTGTTATCGATAAAGTTATAAATTAAAAACAAATCCAGACAACAGTAAGCTCAATTTATCCGAAACCTAATACAGAATACGAATAATTTAAAACAATTACATACATAGGAGAACCCAGTGAAAAAGTTTCAAAACACTTGTCAAAATGTGGTTTAAAAACAGCTTTCAGAACTAACAACACAATAGGGAAATATTTAAAAAACAATAAAACGAAATGTCCAAAATCTCAAAAATCAGGTTTCTACAGGTTTAAACGCGGATCTTGTCCTAAAATTTATATTGGACAAACAGGTAGAACCTTCAAGTAACGCATTAACGAACATAAAAAGCGTTTAAAAACAATAGTCTAGATTCTAATTATGCTACACACTTAAATACAGAAAAACACATTTTTGACGACAATTTTGATATTTTGCATACAGCCACAAAGGGTAGAAAATTAAATTTATTATAAGCCATGGAGAGTAACAAAATGAGACATTCAAATGTATTGCTTAACGATCAAGTAGATTTAAATACCTCTCCATTATTAAACTTAAATGCTGACAACAACTTTAATTAAAGTTTTATTGTAATTTTTTGGTATATATAGTAGCAGGTAGTTTGTAAATATCACATTTGATAAAGACACGGTGTTGTCGAAACAATTGTCATATGAATCTGAACTTTTAGTTCTTATTTATTGTGTTAAATGTATTATCATGAAGTAAAAGCAAATTCAGTTAATTTATGTTTGATAAGTTTATTCCAAACGCCCTGTATACATGTTACATTTTTGGAAACTTTCGAAGGTCTTTAACAAATACATTTAACATTCCAATATATTACTTTTGGAAAAGCTATCGTCTGTGGTAGACTGCAAATTTAATTGAATATAAAAAAACAGGTAATTAGATTAAAGATATTTTCATCTACGTTGAATTGTTTAGTTTTTATACACGCTTACGGTAGAAAAAATGCAACAAGTAAAAACGTTTTACCCAAAAACAATTGAGAATAGAGTCGTCATCAACGACGAAAATCTCCAGTATTTAAATTGTTGCATTAAAAAAAAACATTTTTGGAATAACTTTTTGTGACAACCTGTCTAACAGGTGATATCAACTTTGGATGGCAGATGAAAACCCTTACGACATTATACATTCAAATTTTGGTGCTCCCTGTATATATGTGTATGAAAGTTAGACAAAAGATATATCACGTTTTTTTCTAAAAATTAACGATCACAAAAGAGTATATTATACAACACGTTGGGCAAAGTTTTTAAGTCAATGCCTTTTACCAACCAGTTGCATATTTTTGGTATTTTTTATATTATTTCTCTACATTACCTACTGTTATAAAAAGCTCTAAAAATCTTTTATAAAGGATATTCACGATATTCAAGGTAGCCAATAATTCGTTAGTAAGATGTAACTTTCATTTGTTTATTATTCGTTTTTATGACGTAAAGAAGTTCAGCAAATTGTATTTCATTCAAGTGTAATCAATGTGATTAATTATGCTTAATTAAAAAATATAATATAAATTTTTCTTTAAAGCCTATAAATTTTTATAAAGGGAGTTTAATTAAAAAAAAACTTAACAAATTTTTCTACATTTTATCTCTTTGATAAAGTGAAAAATAACGAAAATAGAATGGAAAATATTTAAAAACAAAACAGGGTTATGAAAATGTTGTCAATATCATGTTAAGTTTTATGAAATGGTGGCACAATGTCGCGAAAATCAGTACCCAAAAAAAAAAAAAAAAATATATATATATATATATATATATATATATATATATATATATATATATATATATATATATATATATATATATATATATATATATATATATATATATATATATATATATACTATATATACACGGAGGAAACTTGTCAATTTGGTGGATATTTTTACTTAGATATTTACCACTGTTCCAAAGTTGCTTATACTCTCACCAATAATATTCTGCTTCATTACTTATTATCATATATGTCCCGATTGTCCCCCACATTTCCTCCCTATTCTCCCATATTCTCTTGGTAATTCCTCAGGCGGTTAATATTTGGTAGGTGGTAGATATTTATTTAAGGAAGTCTGCCTAACAGGCATGAAGTCCAACTAACGGGTAGGTTGTAGTACAAAGAAATAAATTGCTACAGAGGCATTGCAAGTAATGGTGATATGGCAAAACTTAAGTCTAGCCTAACATAAACATTAAATCTAATAAAAAAAAACAGAGAATGGGAAAAGACTGAAATTAACAATTATAGTTAATGAGACAATAACAATAACTTTGCGAAAAAAATGTCCAAATCCTGTCAAGCATTGTATTTGGAGCACATTGAGAAAATATGTGAATTAAAATATTATTTCTTGGTGTGGGCAGAAAGAATGTTACTATGTCTAGAGTTAATAAGGGGAACCAGAAAATTTAGTCTATGTAATAATAATAATAATAATAAAATTTTGAATAAAGTTATTAAATAATGGTAATCATGTCGATCGACACGACCAAACCACTGATACTTGACGTATAAGCTATATAATACTTTTATCACTTCTGTATTTTCAAAGTCTCTGGTGCAACGTACGATAAATCCAGAGCTTTTTGAGTTTTCTGCCAGGACCTTATTGATATAAGGAACAAATGATATTACTCCCGAGTCACAAAAAGAACGGGAGAGACTTTTATCAAAAAGATGATAGTCATATCTTACATCATGGTTGTATTAAGTTGCAAGTTATTATCTAGGGAAAAATTGTTCATTTGCTCCAAACTGACATTAAGGTCCTTTCCAGTGTCATCAACGAAAATGTTGAATAATAATTATTGGGTCTTGAGGACCGCCTGAAGAAGCAATGTATTCATCGAAAGTGTTGCCATAGAGATACGAGTAGACGTACTGAGGGCGGTTAGACAAGTAAGAAGAAAACAAATTAACAAGCAATTCAGAAAATCCACAGGCAGGGAGCTTGTGGATTAGAAATTTGTGATCAAGGCAACCAGACGCTTTCGAAAAATCAAAATATATCAAGTGCATTTGAGAACCTTCATCAATAGCCTCGAAAACTAAGACATAATCGTTATATTGATAATGGTGGACCTTCCTTTAAAAAAACATGAAATATTTTGTCCTGTAGGAATGTTTCTAAAAGTTTACAGGAATTGGAGATAAGAAAAACATATTAAAAAGTATTACAAGCGGTTTAGCCAGAACAAAATGACAGTCATGTATAAAGAATGCTGGTATTAAATTTGGAGCCATTGTAAATTTAGTTTTAATTAAGAGCTTTTTTCATCTCGTATTCGAAGAACATATTCATGTTTATATTTTCAGAGTGGTTTAAATTACTAATACCATAAAATTGTTGAGAGAACTGCCGTTAGAAAATGACTATCTAAAACAGTGCAAAAGAGTTGAGTATATCTTGCTGAGTATGTAACTCGGTGTCATTAAATGAATATAAAATTCTGACATTACTAGTATACAAAAAGTCAATTCAAGAGTATGAAATGGTCATATTATCATTTCGTCGCTTCTATAGCGAAAAATAAGTATATCCTACTTACAATTGACGTTCAGAGCGACCCGTTTGCTAACCGCAGGTGGTACGTCGTTGATTGCGATGCACAAATATGTGCCCATTTGCGTTCTGTCAACTCGCCAGAAATGAAGGCTGCTCCCGTTGTAGGATTCGACTGAAACAATACGTCGCATTGCTATTTTTACACGAGTACGGGTACATATCCCCATCTATCGGAACAATTTCAATTATATTAAAGTAAAAACAGTTTAACAATTTGTTCACTCACAGTACCAAGAGATTATTGATAAAATGGCGACATTCACACCAACGAAAAGATGTTTTGATAATTTCCCGTAGTTCAAAAGTCCATTGTTTTTAAATTACTGCAGAAGAGGAAGCGAAACCACCCATCAAAAGTCCAAACAGGTCGGTAATTCATGAGTAAGATATTTTCTTTAACAAGGAGCAATTAATATACTGTAACGCATTTCTCTAGCTATCGCCAGGTAAATTATTAATTAACATTATTAATTAGATTCATTACATACTATTTACAAAACTTCTGTTGTTGAGTTGAACTCGCTAACGTTTCCCCAATCATACTTTTGACTTCTTCAGAGTTTAACGGAAACTGGCTCGCATTTCACTCTGTACCTGCTTATATATTGAGTGGCGGTTAAGATTGTTTGGTTGCTTATACATTTCTATAGATTCCGTTGATAGGAGAATTTATTACATGCAAGAATTTTAGTTTTATTTTATATTTATGTCCAGTTTCGTGATTGTGTTCGGCAACTGTTGATGAGTTAATTTGTCTTAAAACTTCTGGCATCACAAATGAAATTTTGTCTTTGATGGATCGAAGATGTTGAGAGATTTTTGGACAAGTAGTAAATCTAGTTTTGCCGTTATATTTCTTAAGAATTTTTGATATGTGGTCAGTGACGCTATTGGAAGGTTGTAGTGAAGTGTATTTTCCTGATGGAATGCTTAATATCCTTAATGTGGATATTATTAGAGAAAAGAACAGAGGTAAGGTGTTTTAATTCTGGGTTCAGTGACTCGGGCTGAGATGTTTTTTGGGCCGGATGGTGATGTGACAAAGCATAAAGCTATGGGTCTGTGTGCGTAGGTTTTCTGTAAACACAATGACCTAATGTTAGGTCTGACTTTCTATTGATCAGAATATCTAAGCATGGGAGGTTGTTATTAGTTTCTATTTCAATAGTAAAACGTATGTTAGGGTGCATAGAGTTTAAATGTCTAAGAAAATCTACTACGGATTCCTGACCATGAGGACAAATAACAAAAGTATCATCAACGTAGGGTTTCCATAATTTTGGTTTTACATGGAAGGAGTCGACAGTTTTCTTCTCAAAGGCTTCCATAAATATATACGCTATGACTGGTGATAATGGAGATCCCATAGCTGTTCCCGAAGTTTCGCAGTACTCTACAGCACACTTATTGTGGCCAAAATTATTTATTAACATTTTGTATTGTGAATGAACTTCAGAAACGTGTTTTGCTTGTTACTGTTACTCCAAGGATATTTTTTTATAGAAGCATCAACATATGTATCCCAGAATCGTACACGTGCTCTTCTGAACAAACCTCTGTTAAGACACAGACAGACAGAACTTGAATAAAAAACTAAATTAATATGATACCTAACTAAGATTCTAGTAGGACATGCATGATCGTGTATCATCACTTGTGCACGTTCCCCTTTGACTAAATTTGAGAAGAGAATATTGTGTAACACTTTTATAAAATTGCGACTTGTTACACTCGCTTAAGTTATTGCCTTTGCGTGCATTTGAAACCATTGGGTCACAAAAACAATATCTTTAAAAGAAAAACGACATATATGTGTATTTACAATTTTACTTACTTCACAAATGTTCACTGTCCAACTCTAAGATTTCCAATTCTAAGGAATCAAAAAAATTGTCTATTTTCGACGACTCCCTATCTAAATCTTCTAATTTATCCTCATCAAGACATAGGGATTGAATAAATCTTGAACTTGATTTTCTTATTTTAAGGGACAACGAAGATGTGAATGGGTCTGAGGTATCCATTGCTCGATTAAATATATCGATCAAGTTATTAATTCTGCTGCTTTTTCTGACATCCTGCTGGTATATCTTATTTCTAAGCATCCTCACCAAAAAAAAAACCTATCGACAACACATGGTTTTTGAATGATTTGTTTATTATGTACAATAATTTTGTGAATGGTGGCAGGCATTGGAAATCATGGATATGTTTCCATGAAAATGTGATCAATCTCGAAACAGTACGCCCCAGAAATGATATATCAAACTGTAAGAAACACCTGTTATCTCTGCAAATTCTTGAGCATTGGAAAATGCAAAGTCAAAACGAGACCAAAATAAATTTTGGATGAGCTTTTTTCGCATTTTGAAAGATGCCTTATTTTCTGAAGCCCTCACTTGCCAGATTTTTAATTCAATTCTGTAAGAAATGTGCACGACGCACTCAAAAATCTTATCCAGCAATGCAGGGGGCTTATACCATAATGAACTGCATTGTCCTTTGTTGCAGAGTTGAGGTCTTCAAAATTATTAGTAGTTAAAAATTTTGCTTTTTATTTTGCTTAAGATTTTTCCATCAATCAAAGTCAAGTGTAAATCAAAATGTACTTTAACATGAAAATTGTTGATCCAGGTTTGGTATTCTTGATAATTTCATTATCTTTCTCTTTCATAACATGATCTCTAGTTTCTTTGCCATATTCCAGTTTCAACGGCCTTCAAAACCTCAGAGATTGTGGAATTTCATTATTCCAGAGGATAATGCCATTTGAGTTAGCCTCAAAGGAATTGTGGTGGTAGCGAAAATTCTCGCACCTAGTGTATCTTCAGAAGACATTTTTTGTTTGTATTGAGTCTGCCCTGAGCTTCCATCAAAAGCATAACTCACAACTAACATAGCTGACATCTGGCTTCTAGAAACGCTGAGAAAAACCTCTTCTTGCATAAGTAAAATTCTTTTTGTGGTGTGGTTAAGAACATTTTGCAAGGGGACTTTGGCCGTTGTCTCAGTAACAATGGTATTCGATGGTCGACAGTCTTTTTTGGCCTCCACAATATTATTATATTATAGGCTAGGAATATGTAGCAATTTCGGGCCTGTGCACCCAATCGGATAACCAAGTATTGTTGTTTCGTGAATCTGTTGTCAAGTATAAAAGCAAGTGCATCTTGATAGCTGTACTTCATCGGTTCTTTGGTAGCAAATAATACTTTTTTGATTTTTGATGCACGTATCGCACTTCGTTTGGTCTCTTTCAAAACACCCGACAAATCTTTGCCTCCACTCAACCACTGCCGTATTTACTATTAACTGAATATAGTGATTCATTTCCCGAGATAACTGTAGTGCATTTCTGTGATAGCTCAGTTTTTTCAGAAAAAGGTCATTTTGGACGCCCCACCGACACTTGTTCACACTGTGTTGTCAATTCAGCTTTAGGTTCAGCCCACTTTTCCAAAACTAGTAACCGCTGAAACCAGCTTTTGTATTTTGAATTGAACAAAAACTTGTTCCGTCGCACTTTCTTTCATTTGGCGGACAGATTGACGCAAAAAATACGAGTTTTCTTACGAACATACTTCTTATATTTATTGGGCAATTTATTTTCTTTTATGCTATCTAAAACATATTTGGCAATAGTGGATGGCTTTGCCAATGCTTTTCCTTCGAAACACTAAACATTAGAGAGTTCTTAATTCTTGAACCTGTAGTGACCTAAAAAAAATGTTTTTTCTCTGATGTTTGCACTTGATAACAAAAAAAATTACGCAGTCACAAGGTCAGTATATAAGAGTGCCAAAAAACGTTAACCTCAGAATTATCACTTTTAATCATTTTTTATAGTCCAAACAAAACTTCATAAAAGCAGTTTTTTTAATGAAAAATATACTGCTTCATATTTATATCTATTACTAATTAAAACAAGCAAATATTTCACAGTCTTTTCTAAAAATTTTCATAACCTTACCTGAGTTTGTAATCTCCATTGCAAAAAAAAATCTGCTTTTATTAAAACAAGCATAAACTTGACTTTCAAAGTCACAGCCGCCAATGCATTTTTTATCTAAACCATTTGTAATTTGTAATACCCTCACATTTGAGTTGAGAATTGACTTTTAGACATTTTGGCCAAAATCAGGGGACTATATACTAATGCTTTGTTCAAAAATTTGACCATTATAAGAAAAATACGTTCCAGACAAGCATTGTTCAATTGAGGTGAGAAGGTTTGGTTCCAGATTCTCGGATTTTAATATATCTGAAAAGATTCTCAGAGTTTCGGGAATATAACCAGAATATCTTGTGGAACTAATGTAATGCTTGTTAATTGTTCAATGAAGTGAAAGGTATTATGTACGAGACTATCAGTTTTCCCTGTAAAGGGTTTTAATATAGAAGCTAGAGATTATTAGGGAGTCTCTAGAGACGAGAAATTTTAGAGTCGTGAGGGGTGACAGGCCTTTTCACTGGGTCTGACAGAGAAGAAGCCTTAATAACAGATTTCAGGTTGCGCTCCATATATGACGATTGATCCATCTGTGAGAATATCTTAAATCTTTTCCTGATATTCATTTGTGTTCATGACCATCATAGAGCATTTCCTTTATGAGCTATTAGGATTACGATGTCGGGATTAGATTTTAGAGATTTTAGAGTAATGCGTTGTGGCTTTGGAATACTAGATTTAGGAGGTTTTGATTTTTTAAGACTGGACATTATTTCCTTTTTGGAGGTAATCGTGGGACAAGGACGAAGTTGGAACCTTTTGCAAGAACTGATTCTTTCTTGTGCGATGATACTTTTATCACAGTGTTGGGTAGTTGATAGGAGTTTGATGGTTTCACTAGTACTGACGTTAGCTTCTCAAATTTCTGAATGTGATTAGAAGATAGAAGATAAACGAAGATTGGAAGATTTGCCACGGATCATATTTGAAAGGGTATTCAGGATGTAGAGACAGAAGGGTTTTATTGATATGATCTATTTCCTTAAGGGTATGATGATTTTTTTGTAGCAGTAAAGCTAAATTAGATTTTTGAAGAATTTTATAAGCGGATGAGGTTTTTGACATGATGGGATATTTTAAGAAAATTTCTGTACAACGTAGCAATCTTAAAGATCTTACAACTTAGCTCCGCCCTCTTAACCAATATATAAACACGTACGGAGAAAAATGCGAGCCAGTTTCAGTTAAGCTCTGATGAAGCCAACAGGATGATCGGCGAAACGTTAGCAAGTTCGACTAAACAGCAACCGATGCAGTAAAGTAAGAGAAACATTTTCTGCTCTCTCATTTGATTTGGTGCCACAAATGTTTCTAGGGTTGAAGTATGGTTAGATATGGAGTGCGACAAATGTTCTTTAGAGTTGAATATACTAAGGCATGGAAGAAGACGTAAAACACGTACGACCATTCTGTTCAGCTAAACAATCATGCAATGCAATCCCTCAGCACTATCCGGATCTTCTGTTTCACTCAGCGCTCGTCTAAACAGCATTGCGGAATAAGTGTTGGTGATGAAAATACGGAACAGTTATGAGTTGGATACCAGATTCCAAAATAGTAAAAATAACAATAGGAAACATATTTCCTAAAGTCTTCGACAGGATGCGCATTTACCTTACCTCGCGAATAATTTCTGAATCCCCGTCGGACGATGATGGGCTCTCCGTCCTCACGTCTCCACAAAATCCGCGGGGACGGATGGCCCGAAGCTTTACACCAGAGAGTCGCGTTGTCTCCCTCGGACGCTGACATGTCGCCGCTTGTGTTTTCGTTTTCTATGTCAGGCGGGACTGTAATGCAAACGAAGTCTAATTTACATATACTTACGGATCTACCATTTAAGTTGGATTGCGAGTGCTAGACTGGAGTGAAATCAAGTTGAGGATATACCATGGAGGATTGTTCAAGCTATACGGGACGGAATATTGTCTCGTGCTTTCTAATATACGCGGAGGTTTCTTTTAAAGCTAATAACAAAAATGATAAAGTGTATCAAGCCAACCAATACCTAATTGAAATGTTAATTACTGACTTTTTGTAATATATTATGGAATTCAGTGCGGTAAACGGCATTTGAGTCAGGACTTGGCACGAACGGAGAGCAGTCATACAGAAAGACAGACGGAGAGACAGAGATAGACAGACAAAGAAAGATCGACAGACAGAGATACACAGAGACAGAGACGGACAGACAGAGACAGACAGAAATAGACAAAGATAGCCAGACAGACAGACAGACAGACAGACAGAGACAGACAGCCAGAGACCAGAGACAGACAGACTAACAGAGACGGACAGACAGACAGAGACAAGCAGAGATAGACAGACAGATAAAGACAGACAAAGACAGAGACACAAAGACAGACGGAGGCACACAAAGGCAGAGACAGACAGACTGAAACAGGTAGAGACCGACAGCGTTTAATTAACGAGTGACTTTTTTCTACTCCCTTCTGTAAAATCAGCATGGGAAAGCGTGACTTTACCACTTGAGTTTCGTGTCCCCAGGATCCGAGCCACTTCGGACATTTTCGGGTTATTACCGCTCGGGTTTGGGAGCACTCAGATGTTTTGGGCAGATTTTACCACACGGCTTGAATTTTGACGTTTGTCAATTCTGACGGTCATGTCAGTCAATGCACCCAAAAACTAACAGTCGTAGAAAAAGTACACCACACGTGTGGTAAACTTTTTAATAATACCAGATGTGTTGCATATTATATTTTTTCTATGACCGTTAGTTTTTCTATGAATTTTTGCAAAACAACTCGAATACATTCAATCACAGGAGTGTCAGAACTGACAAACGTCAAAATTCAAGCTGTGATGTAAAATCTCCGAAAACATCCATTTGTTCCGAAACCCGTGCGGTAATATCCCGGTAATGTCCGAAGAGTCTCGGGTACCTACGACAAGAAACTCACGTGGAAAAGTGACACTTTCAGGACTCTAGAGAGCAAAAAGAATATTCGGGATAACAGCGGCACCGCAATGGAAAACGCAAATAAATCAAATACAATAATTGGAATTAAAGAATATTTATTACAAAATTTTATTTTGAACCCGATATTCAAAATTATTTGCGAAGCCTTGAGTTTGTGTTCTGAGATTACAGGCAAATTTTGTGACTTTGTTTTTGTAAATAAGGAATATGGTTCATCTGAATAGGGACGGGTCACCAACACCACGGGACTATGGAGATAGAGACGGATCAAGATCTTTCCTATACCAAGGAGCAATTAATGTATTGTAACGTATTTTTCCAGTTATCAACAGGTATATTAAGAGTTGGAGTTGAATATACTATAGTATGGACGTAAAACAGTATGACCATTCTGTCCAGATAAACTATCACATACTGCAACTGGATTAAAAACAAATAGTAAATAAATATTTCGTTCAGGGAGGACCGGTTAAGAAAGGCCTGTACCTTATCTCGAAACCTACGGGGGTTGCAGGAAAAAATTAAATATAAAAATTGTTTTTATTAAAATGACCTTTTTTTTTCATTTTTCCAATCGTCAGTTTTTTATATACAGGGTGGTAAAACAAAGGCACATTTTTTAAATTAGAACAAAATACATTTTTATTGCATTTTTGGATAGTCCTTTCAAAGACAAATTCAACGATATATATGAGTATGAGTCTGTGATGCAGCGTTTCGAACGCATTAGTGATCATCTTCAGAATTCGGCTTACGTTTAAACCATCATTGTTGTGTGGCTTATTAACTTTTTAAACTTGTTTCCATCTATTACTTTTACGAAAATAATGCCTTTCTTTAGGCTATGATCAAATTTAAAATATTGCCACGTTTCGTAAAATGATACTTTTCTCAATTTTCTTCATTGAGGCACCCTGTATATTATTGGATATAGCCACTTTAATCGTAATTTCAATTATATAACATAGTACGGGTCTCTGACTTACCGCTTTGGCTTAACGGGAAATTATTTTCCAATAATACATCAATTATTTTACATTCATAGTTTAAGAACCTTGTAAATAATGTCCTTCAATGCGAAAAAACTTTAAAAAAATATATTTTCTATTTATTTTATTAAGTTGCATTTTTATTGTCTATTTTGTATAATGTATAGGAAGGAGGAACAAGTTGACCTATTAGAATGTTAGATCGCCAATAACAAAAGTCCGGCTCTTGCTTTCAGAGCCAAATTTTCTCATAGTCGATTGACAGGAAAAAAACATTTGCCAAAATTCAGTTTCGAACAAATAGCAGTGTTTTAGTGAAAAAAATTAGGAGGCCAACAGTTTTGGATGAAAATATGCATCTAGATATTCTTTTGCATTTTGAAAATACTCCAGACCTCCACCCGCCTTGCCGTTTCAGATGTAGACGCGAGACGAACCACACTTTAAGTATATTTAAAAATTAACAGTTATAAGCTATTTAAATTCACAGCAGTACAAAAACTACAAGAATCGGATTTTAACTTACGACTCCAATTTTGCAATATAATGATGGATAGGCATTTAACATCCGTACGACATTCAAACTTATTAAGGAAAGAAATTCGTTCACTTACACATAATAATATTCCCCAAAGAGAGCATTCAAATTTAATTTGGCAGCAAGATGGCGCTCCTTTCCATCGAAGTGCTGCAATCGGTTGTTTTTTAAACGAAAATTTCAGAGAGTGGATTGGACAAAACTTTTTTTTGTTGGGCACATTGAGAGATATGGTTTACAAAGATAAATCGTTGACAGTGTTATGAATTGCGTGTCAAATGCCATTTACAAATAAAATTAGAAAAATTAATTTAATTAATTTTACTTGTAAGTAATATGCATCAGTAGTTAGTGTAAATTTTTGGAAATCATTTCACGTAGATATTTTAAAGTAGAAATAAGTAATTTTGCGAAATTTGGCCACATTGTGCAAAGCATAATATTTTGTTTTTAATATAACTTCTTAACAATGCTCTAAAACGGTCGTGAATAAGTTGATAAGGAGCTAATTCCCAGTGTCATATCTTAATAATTTAAATCTTATACCTAGTTTTTAATTTTATCTGCCAATTAAGCCGAAACTGTAAGTCGGAGTACCGCACTGTGTTATTTCATTGAAATTGCTATTAAGGTGGCCATTCGAAAATCCAATAATATACAGCGCATCTCATTTAAGAAAATTGAGAAAAGCATCATTTGGCGAAACGTGGCAATGCCGCTTATTTTAAGAAAATATTTCAAATTTGATCATTGCCTAAAGAAAAGCATTACTTTCGTAAAAATAGTAGATGGAAAAAAGTTGCAATAAAATAACGATGGATTATTCGATTGACATGAATTTTATTGATCCGAAAGATAATCTTGTGGCATTACATTTTAAATATGATTTCTGGCATATGACCGCCACGGCTGGCGCGGATGTAGTCCAATCTGGACGTCCAATTTTCGATGACTTTTTCCAACATTTGTGGCCGTATATCGGCAATAACACGGCGAAGGTTGTCTTCCAAATGGTCAAGCGTTTGTGGCTTATCCGCATAGACCAATGACTTTACATAGCCCCACAGAAAGTAGTCTAGCGGTGTTAAATCACAAGATCTTGGAGGCCAATTCAAACGTGAAATTAGGCGGTCACCAAAAGTGTCTTTCAATAAATCGATTGTGGCACGAGCTGTGTGACATGTTGCGCCGTCTTGTTGAAACCACATCTCCTGGACCTCATGGTTATTCAATTCAGGAATGAAATAGTTAGTAATCGTAGCTCTATACCGATCACCATTGACTGTAACGTTCTGGCCATCATCGTTTTTGAAGAAGTAAGGACCAATGAGTCCACCAACCCATAAAGCGCACCAAACAGTCAGTTTTTCTGGATGTAACGATGTTTCGACATACACTTGAGGATTAGCTTCGCTCCAAATGCGGCAGTTTTGTTTGTTGACGTAGTCATTCAACCAGAAGTGCGCTTCATCGCTTACTTGATGATCGTTTGTAAGCATTTGATTTTGTACGCACGTAAACCAAGATCCTTCCGTAAAATCTTCCATAAGCATCTCTGGGGATGCGAGTTATCAATAACGTGGTGCGAAAACGTTCCATGGTTAATCGAATTAACTGTTCTGATGGACGATTTTGTCGACGATAAAATGGACGTAGTGTGCACAGAACCATTATTTTCGAAATAAAATTGCACTATTTGCAAGCGTTGTTCAGGCGTGAGTCTATTCATGATGAATTGCCAAACCAAACTGAGAATAAATCACTTGACAGCTGTTAAATTGCTCGCCATATTGAACTGTAATGCCAACTTAAAATTCTATACATCGAAAAAAAAAACACCCATTATATCGTTGTATTTGTCTTTGAACTATCCAAAAATGCAATAAAATGTAGGGTTACCACACTGTATATGAAAAAGTGACGATTATAAAAAAAAAAGGTTATTTTAATAGACACAACTATTGCATTTAACTTTTTTTGTAAGCCCCGTAGGCTTCGAGGCCATTCTTAAACTAGCCACCCTGTACATAAACTGTATTCGCCACGTTCGCTATAGGTCGTAGCACTGTTTGTTGAACATCGAACAAACTAGTGCTGAGTTTTATCTAAAGCGCTAACGCAAACATAATATAAAATGGAAATAACTCGCCGGCATAAGCGACTTTAATTTCCAAAAACAATAAATTTAAATTTACATGTGTAAACTAAACTCCACAAATTTTGCGAAAACATCGGCTTGTATATATCCGCGCATGACTGGACACGTTTCTCAGTGAAAATTAAAATAAACAATAACCGATCGTGACACGGATTAAAGTG